TTTGCAGTACAGTTTGAGTGTGTTTTGCTTCCTTGTCTTCTAATTCACTGATTCGGTCCTCCGCTTCTCCCAGTCTACTGTTGATACTTTCAATGGTGTTTTTTATTGCAGCTATGTCGCTCTTCATTTCTTCTTGGGACTTACTTAAGTTGCTGATTTTTTCACCTGTTTCTTCTAGCTTCTTGCATACGTAGTTGAGTTTTTCATCTGTTTCTTCTTGCTTCTTGAACATCCGGTGCATGTACTCTAGGAACCTTATTCTGAATTCTTTTTCCGTCATGTTGCATATCTCTGTCTCACTTAGCTGCTTTTCTGGCGAGTCCTCGTTTTCTTTCCTTTGGGGGTTTCTTTGTCTACCCATGTTTGATCTCACTGACATTACTAGTTGTTGAATCGATCAGTGGCTGGACCCTGGGTGGCAGTGGCTGCTCCCTGGGTGGCAGTGGCTCCTCGGTCTGTGGTTGCTCCTTGGGCGGTTGTGGTAGCAGCGGCTCCTCTGTTGATAGCAGGGCCTCTGATGGGTGCTGTTCACAGTTGTGGTGGCTCTTCTGGCTGGTGGAGGGAGGCTTCAGACGCAGCAACTGTTCCCCAGGCAGAGCGTGTGGTGATCAGGAGGCCGCTGTTGCTTGAATCTTCGAGGCAAGTCCAACCTTTCCGTGGAGTGGTGCAGGTCTCCCCTTGGCTCTTGCAGTCGCGCTGTTTGCGAATCGCTGCCTCCGGGTCAGTAGCCGCCGGGCTAGTAGCCGATCTCTGGATGCCGGTGAACGCTGCCTGAGATGGCGCGGTCCTGCCGCTGCGCTGGCGCCCAGAGGGAGGTTTCAGCCTCAATCTCCAACCATCCGCATTTTTTAGGAGTTTTCTGTCTTTCCTGGCTGCAGACTGTCTCTCAGCTGAACCTCCCCAGCTTGATCGGGCTGATTGTTACCCGTTTCAGCTGCTCGCCCCCATCTGGTCCGGGACAAAGCACCAACACGTCCGTCTAAGCCTCCGCCATTTTCCTCCCCAGCTCAGTCAGCATATTGTTTTAGCCGGCCAGGACAAGCAGTGAACATCATCAGCTTCTGCCAGAAGGGAAAGACTTCATTCAGAGTAGAGGACAAAGTCCATGCCAAGCAACACCATCGCTAAGCCTGCCTGGTATGCAGTTTGCTAGAGAGAAACAGGAACCATCCCTGAGAACAGTAGATGTGCAGCCACATTTTGTTTCTATTTTGTCTTGGCTTGTAAATCTGTAGAACTAAATCTTATTTCCTTGTGGAAAAAAAAAATCCAGAACAAGAGATTAAATGAATGTGTGTGTAAACTGAATTTCAAGTGAGCAGGCACTGCTGTGTGGCCCCACGTGGAGACAGAGGGCCAATCGGAAGCCATTCGAAGGGCGAGTCCCCAGGGTGCTGAGGGATGGAAATGCACGCACAGGACCACGTGTGTGTCGTGGTAGATATCTTGAAGTATGGTAGCAATCATCTCAGGTAGAAATTATAGTTTAACTTTAACCCTGCTGTTTGGTTTCTGTACTTATTTGCTTGCTAAAATAATAGAAAAGTTATTTTGATTTTCTGAATTATATAAATCATCCCATTTGATTAAATACCCTATTGATTGTAATGTGAATATCCCATTGGTTGTGGTCATACTGGTCTTAGAAAGTACATTCTCCTGTACCTGGGAAGGACAGCACAATTATCCCAATGTCAGAGGGCTCCAGATAATGTGTCCCTGTTGACTCAGTGGTCCCAAAACCTGAGGGCTCTAGATAACATGTTCCTGTCAACTCAGTGATCTGGAGACCTAAAACCATAATTTAGATAACATACTTAAGTCTGCTTCTGTAAACTGCTTTTTGCAAACCAGGTTCCTCATTCCAAACCCTAGGATGAAATCAATACCTCTGTGATCTTTGCCTATATAAATCTGGTGCTGGGACTCGGGAGGGCACTATGAGATCTGAGAGAGCGAAATGCCCCCTCATAGTCCCGGATTTGCAATAAATGTGACTCTTTAATTAGAATTCTTGAGGTGTCCTTGTGTGATTCGTGGGATACATTACAACATTTGGAGGTGCTGAGAATCAAGGTCACTTGCAGATACAGACTTGGATTTTTGCAATTTGATATTTTTATTGGCAGTGATTCTTTCAAGGACGATCCTTTTGGGGAAATTGGTCTGTTTGGAGGTGATCCTTCAAGGGTTCAGATCCATGTACATCGGACAGCTTTCTCAGGCGATCTTCTCCTGACCCTGTGGCCACATCTGGTGTTGAGTCTTTCAGTGCAGCCGGCATCAGCAGTGACCCTTTGGTAGAAACACTGAAGCACATCGATCCTATTGCTCTTGGTGGATTGGTTGTTGCAGCTAAGAACTTGCGCTCAGACCCAGTTGTTTCTGATTTTGGAGCGCAATCATTTGAAAATGGATTTTCTGACTTCGGCATATTGTCAAAGGCCAACAATGAGGACCTTTTTAGTTCAGCCACATCCATGTCATCATTCCACAAAATGTGCTTGAGAAAGTGTCAGCCAACAGTGAGGATGTACCCCAGCCCTGTCACCAGAGATCAGAACTCCAGCCACACCCTGGTCACCACCACCTGGGAAAGACCCAGAAAAAAATAAGATTGTTCCCATCCCTTTAAACTGAACGATTCAGTTCAGCCTTTCCCAGGCAGTGACCGCCCCAAAGAAAAAGATGCTGATGTGTTTTGGGTTCCATCCACTTCTGCTACTACTGCGACTACCAATAAAGAAGATGAACCAAGCAATTTTGTTAACTTACCTTTTTTTTGAAGAAGGTGTGATTAAATGGTGCAATAGGGAATGAATGTGAGAGAGAAGAAGAGCCGAGACTTGTCCGACTGAAACAGCAGGAGTAGGAAGACTTAGCACTGACTATTGCACCCAGCACAAATGAGATTCAGAAGCAGGAAGAATTCTCGTGTCCTTCGTCAACCATATAATATTCTCCTTCTTGAACAGTGAAGCTATTTTCAGTGTGTATCAAAACAATCTGTGAGCGTGGGAATCCAAAAGTATTGAGATTGCTGTAAATGTGAAATCATAATAATGACTCACAGTGCCCTGAAAGACTATCTACAGAGTGATTAATGGGTGTTATGGAAACCACTCAAAGAAACAGAACACTTGGAATACATGAAACTCATTTTAATTGAAGAATGTTTAAACATCTGACAATGAAAGGACAGAATTGATTTCTTGGGCAACAATCGGTATCATAGTAGAGAATTACATGAAATTTTAGTAATAGATCATGCAAATACCTAAGACCTAAGAACAAAAAGTAATTTGATTTAGCACTCTCAAACATTCTTTCCATCAAGGAGGAGATACAGCTGAAGATACAATTCTGAAGTTGGAGGACAACATTGAGGAAATTTTGCAGGGTGCAACACAGAGGGACTGGAAGTAGAAAATTCAGATACATGGGGAATAGAAAGAGAAGGGCCACTGAAGCTGTGAGATGCAGGAGGAGAGCAGTGAGGATGATGTCTCCTTCATTCCTAGAGGTCAATGGCTGGGTATGTTACAGAGAAGCAGCGACAACACAGTGCCAGGGGGCATGAATATGCAAATGAAATGTGTGTCTTGATATTCATATTCAAGTGGGGGAAAGTGATGGGAGCTCACGTTCAAACAGAAACATAATGCCAAAAGTTATGGAAAAGTCCATTCAAATACTTGATTGTGAATGAAGAATCCTATACTCACCCACATTTTTATTACAAGGCTAAGGTGAAAGTGTCAGAGGGGAGAAATCCATGAGTAGGAGAAGAGAGAGGCACATCTGACCCTATGAACTCACATCTCATGTGTTACATTCACCAGGTCAGGTTCTGACTTCAGGAGGGAGGAGAATGCCTGGGCAGTAGGTCCTCAGCCATTAGAGACTTTCCCCCTTCTTGTATTTGAATTATATCCTCTCTTGGAAGTAAAACATGTTTTTCAAGTGTCTTAATGGAAATAAGACATTTGCAAACATACAAGGTCTTCATTATTTACACACTCACTAAAAGCACACGAAGATAGTAATTAAACCAACAGCACAACAGACAAGAAGTAGAGACAGTGAGTTGTAAAAGTGAGAAAAGCAATGGCAAGACTAATAAACTTTGAAAAAATATATTGGCACATACATTCACATATACATTATTAATTAAGAAAGGTTAAATAATATTAGGAGTTTGTGTGTGTGTGTGTGTGTGTGTGTGTGTGTTTGAGACACATGAACACACACAGCTTTTGAAATTTGGTACAGAGTTCAGCTAACAGGTAGTGCCCTTTTCTTGTCTAAAGAGATAATGAATAAAAAATTGTTCAAAATTATAGATATAAATACCAATATTAACAATGGTGTAACTATTCAAGCTGGAAATGCATGTATAACCTCCAAACCAGTTGAAGTAAATATATAAAACAAACAAATCTGAATCAATTTAAAATTGGTCTGGAAAATTTTTTAAAAAGCTACTTCAAATGAACTGTATGTACTATTTAAATAAAATGATGCCAACAATTCAAAATTATTTATTATCTAGCATTAAGACATCTGCTCAAGATAGTAAGGAAAGTAAAGAAAGTACTCAAATCCTCCCAGGACCACAGCGAAATCACAACTAAACTACAGAGCAACCAGCATTCAGAACCACCTGGAATCTAGGTGAACAGAAGGTCCCAGGTGAGTATACAAAGAAGAAGCCGCACGGAGATGGCAGGAGAGTGGAGATGTGCAATGGGCTGGACCACGTGGAGCAGGTATCAGGACTTTTGGACTTTTTTTGTTTACTTTGTTCTTCTTGGATTAAAAATAATCCCACAGTGTGGCTCAGTGGTTGAACATTGACCTATGATTCAGGAGGTCACTGGTTCAAATCCCAGTCAGGGCACATGCCTGGGTTGTGGGCTCCATCCCCAAAAGGGGGCATGCAGGAGGCAGCTGATGTTTTTCTCTCCTCAGTGTTTCTATCTCTCTATCCCTCTCCCTTCCTCTCTCTCTAAACTCAATAAAAACATAGTTTAAAAAGGAAAAATAAAATAAAAAAACAATCCCAAGTTTATGAAGATACCACAATTTGTTGGGATGGATGTGGCCCAGCTTAAAGGGGGGTATAGATGTGAATCCAAATCAGCCATGTGGGACAGACCCTCATGTCACAGGGTGAGAAGAGAAGGGCAGTGGAGGAGAGTGAGTGAGGACAGGGAGGGAAGGAGAGCACCCCAGCTGGATGGAGGAGGCGTCCTCTACAGGGACAGGGCCCACGTTCTCCTGCACCCAAACCTCGTCTACCACGTCTTCTCCCCTGGACATTCTCAGCAGACAGTTTCCCCAATTATGGTCCACATTCTCTTTCAACACCTCCTGGGGTCCTCAGATGGGCTCCAAGCTCCCCCACTCGAACAGTGCATTGTTGCCTCTGTGTTCACATCCTGGCTGCATCGTGGGTCCTTCTGGTGTCATTTCGAGCCTGAAATAGCAGCACCCCGAGCACCACCAGGACCAAGCCAGCCACGCCAATCCGGATGAGATTCTCCACTGTGTAGTCTTGGGGATGGGAAAACAAGAATTGTGAGTAAAGTCTCAGAGGTCAGGGCAGACCCAAACCTCCGGGATTCTGGTGTCTTCCCTGGGCTCCCACCTCCCCTTCACATCAGCATCCCAGTGATGTCTGAACTCTGCACCAGCTCTGAGTCAACGTGTAAGAGCTGTCCCTGAGAACTGAGGATAAGAGAAGATATTATCAAAATTCAGAAATAACTAAGAGCTGGGTGTTCTGTGGTTCAGGCTGAGACTCAAGACCCCATGAGCTTATTCCCCTACAGCTGAGAGATCCCACGTTCTCAACAGCTGGGGACCCAGGGTCCATGGAGGAGCGGTTGGTGTCAGGGGCTCCTGAATCTCAGGTGCAGGAAGGGGTGAAAGTCTGGGCTGGGTCTCCTTCACCCGACCCTGCCCAGGCCCCTCCTCTCTGGAATCCGCATTTTCATCATCACCTGGAATTTATCATTTATTGGTTCTTCTATTAACTCATTTATTTATGAAATATATTTTTATTGACTTCAGAGAGGAGGTGAAAGGGAGGGATAGATAGAAACAATCAATGATGAAAGAGAATCATTGATTGGCTGCCTCCTGCACAACCCCTACTGGGGACTGAGCCTGCAACCCGGGCATGTGCCCTTGGCCAAAATCAAACCTGGGACCCTTCAGTCCATAGGCCGACGCTCTGTCCACTGAGCCAAACCAGCTAGGGTTTAGCTCATTCATTATACAATTATACAAATGAATACCTACAGTGGTGCATATATTTTTCAAATGAAAAATGTGGCCATATGGATGCTAGTGGTGTGAGCATTTCCTTATTTTCAAAGTACAACAAAGGTCATAACCAAAGACGTCCACACTTCTGGCTCAGATTTTAAGTCACAGAGAAAATCCCCCTAAATTCATTATTGAGTGAGCACCCAAAGTAGGAAATTATGTCAATCTGTAACCCTATTTTGCTATAAAACCCAAGATATAAGAAAATTATTGACCTCTCCTCATTACAGTGATCCATGCAATAACTAAATGTCAGCTCCACAATTCAGAAATACACATGGATGATCAGCGTCACTCAGTTGGGTTAACATCCAAATAGCTGACCCCAAGAAACCTTTGTAATGTGTGTCATGTGGTTAAAAGTCTGAGAAAAGATCATTATGGGGGGATGTGCATCTGTCAGGCAAAGAGAGCATTCCTAATACAACGTAATGAAATGGATTGGAACAAAATTGGCTAAAGGTGCTCTCAATATAAAATGCAAATTTGTAAGTGGATTTGCCTTGACATAACTTTGGGTGTGAATGAAGCTGTTTTCCGGAGGGGAAGCTGTGGCCCATTTTGGTCCGTCATCCATCCTATGGGATGTAAGTGAGTAAAATAGGTATGCCATCGGGAATAAAGAATGACATTCCCTTTGATTGCTGGGGATTATAATTTCATATCAGAGGGACCAACTGAAAAACAGCCCACAGGAGGCTATCAGGTCCTGATATAAGTATGTCCAAACCAAGAGCTTTCCTATGTGCACTTACTACCATTTAGGAAATTTACAGGAATCACACCGCTTACTCACAAATTACTATGTTAGAGGTGCAATTCTCTAGTAAGTGGCTGTACATTTACTCAATTTACAAATAGTTATCACGTGCTTCTAAGGTTCATTCATAAAGCTCATTTAAAAATGTGTGTGAAAAGAAGACCTTGTATAAATAATAAGTTATTCTCCATAACAAATGCCTGAATTTAATCTGCTCCCAATGAAAACAGGAATAGAATGTTTATCTTTCTATCTGGACTCCATATAATGTCAGTTAAATTGTGAGGTTATAGACTGAAGTGTTGCCTGAAGGTTCTCTAAAAAGAACCACAATAGCCAAAACCGGTTTGGCTCAGTGGATAGAGCGTCGGCCTGCGGACTGAAAGGTCCCGGGTTCGATTCCGGTCAAGGGCATGTACCTGGGTTGCGGGCACATCCCCCGTGGGAGATGTGCAGGAGGCAGCTGGTCGATGTTTCTCTCCCATCGATGTTTCTAACTATCTATCTCTCTCCCTTCCTCTCTGTAAAAAATCAATAAAATATATTTAAAAAAAAAAAAAAAAGAACCACAATAGACCCGTGTGCACAGAGACACTGATCAGAGGTGAATGCACAGCGTCTGGGCAGGAGGCCCCCGGTCCCCATGAGGCCTGCAGGGTCCCTCCTTGTTCTCAGGTGAGGACTGAGGGCCTGGAGGCCTCCAGGTGAGCACAGGGGCAATACAGTGTGGTGCCCACAGACAGGATGCTTCTCTCTATAGGGGACTGTCCAGGGGGGCTGGGACTACAGGGACCCAGATTCTGAGACGAACACATCAGCAGGTGAGTGGTGGTGGTGGTGGGGTCTGTGTTCTCTGCTCAGTCTAATCATATTCCTGTTCATTTCACTCATCTCTCACTCTCCATCCCTACCCTTCATCTCTGCTGAGGTTCAGAAATGGGGTTCAGGATTGGGAGGTCCTGTCTCTACTCTCTCATGGGCTGGATTCTGCTCTGTGGAACCTCCTCCACCTCCTTGTTTATTACTGTCACCCACACTCCTAGGGACAGGGCCCTAAACTGACTGAGCACAGAAAGGGTGGGGTCAGAGCTCCTCACCTGAGACCACCAGCTCCAGGGGGTCACTGGGCTGTGACAGCAGGTAGGGGGAGGTGCTGTTTGAACCATAGCACCTGTAGGTCCCCTGGTGGCCTGAGGTCACAGGACTGAGGGTGAAGTTGGCCTGAGAGGGTGCAGACGTGTCCTGCAGACGGAGGTGCTGTGGAGGGTCCAGTGACCCCTCCCTGTGCAGGTGGAAGGTGTCAAACCAGATCTCAGCCTCACACTGCAGGGTCACGGTCGCTCCCCAGGGCACTGAGGGTTTCGGCTGGGCTGAGAGGGAGGGTGCACCACCCACTCCTGAGGGAGGAGAAAGGGTCTGTGTTAAAGGGACTGTCACCCTCACACCCCAGGTGTGTTGTGTGAGGGGTGAGGTCCCCTGAGGCCACACTTTATTCCCTCTGCCTGTGACCTGGAGCCCACAGTGGGGAGGGAACCAGGTGTCTCCCTTACCTGTCACCACGAGGAGCAGGGGGTCACTCCGCTCTGAGAGTATGTTCCCAGTGATGTAATATGCACACAGGTACAGCCCTGCATGGTGTGAGGTCGTGGCTCCAATGAGGAAACTGGCCTTGATGCTGGAGTCCTGTGGGACCCTGGTTTCCAAGGGCGCAGAGCCCCTCTCTTTATACAGAAGGTAAGCACTAGCCTGCAGAGACCCCTGACACCAGATGGTCACAGAACTCCCATTGGCGATGATGGGGCCTGGGTCAGCCCAGATGGAGGGTTTGGGGACGTCTCCTGGAAAGGAATCAGACATGAAAGGTCCTGGGGAGCCCTCATACTCTCATGACGTCATGAATGAGACAGTGCTGTCATTTAATGAGCACCTACTGTGTGCGAGGTATATGGTGGGGTTGCCACTCATCTCCTCTCACCTCATAGCAGTCATGCACCAGGACTGCTGACCCCACCCCCCACTTTACTGAGGCTCAGAGAGGTTAATCACGTGCCCCAGGTCACCCAGCCTGGATATGGTAGGGCTGGGACTGGAACCCAGGACTGTGAGTTCCCTGTGATTTCCTCACACTGCTCCCCAGGGAGACACTAGCTTCGTGCTGTGGGCTCCTCCTCTGCAGGCGCCTGTCCACGTCTCATCTGGAGTGAGGGTCCTTCCTCATTACCTGCCCCCAGCACAGCAGGGACAGGGAGGGGCAGGATGAGGGGTGGACTCTGACTCTTTCCTGGATGCCTCTCCACACTGCATGGTCCTGACACGCCCCCCCGCCCCCGCCAGGAAGTGGGAATCTGCCTTCCTGAGCTCTGTGAGGCCCTTATGTCATCTCATCTCCCAGCAGCCTGTGAGCAGGACGGGACCAGGGATGAGCAGACAGGAACCCGACACTCAGAGGAGAGAAGGGACTGCCCAGCCCCACAGCAGGAGCAGCAGAGCCAGGAGCTGAACCAGGGCTGATCCACCCTGTTCCGTCCTCTGAGCTGAGCCTGAGCTGAGGGGTAGGACTGGGTACCCGGACCCTTGTCCTGCCTGTCCCTCCCTGTAAAGTGTCTCCGTCACTGAGACAGAGGGGACAGGCCCCATAACATCACGTCCTGAAGGCTTCCCTGTGAGGCCCCTCTCCCAGGAGGTCAGGTCCAGAGCCCTCAGAAAATCTGAGCTCTGGAGAAGGATTCTTTCCTTTCAAACTTAGAGACACTGAGGCCCAGACAGGGAAGGGCATGTCCAAGTGAGAGACTTTAGAGGGGCCTGAACTGCCACATGGCTCAGCCCCTGTCCCCATGGAGGCACCCACCAGCTTCCACAGAGACCTCCACCTCCCCCTCTGTGGGCCTGACTTCCAGGATGGGGGAGACCGAGCCTCAGAACCCCAGGGTCACCTTGGTTCCCTGAAATCTGTCCCAGCTCCTAGCAGCCTTAGGACACAGCCTGCCCTTAGTGCATGGGCAGCATTAGGTCCTCAGGCTCAGAACTGCCCAGGGGAGCTGTCTCCCTCTGAACAAAGAGGACTCTGTGGTAGGGGGGCTGGGTTCCATGGGGCCTGGGAAGGACAGGAAAAAGGTGAGAACCCCCCTTCACACAGAGTCCTCACTAAGTCCCTCCCACTGCCCACCTGGCACCTTCTGGACCAGGTGAGGGGGACGGGTGGGAGGGGACAGGGGTTGTCTGAGGGGCAGATCTCCACTGGGTGACCATCCCTACAGCCCCTCCCTCCCTTTCAGCCCATAATCCTTCTGGGAACAGGACCCTGGGCTGACAGCTCAGCAGAGAGGGTCAGGGGACCTCACCTGAGACCAGGAGCTCCAGGGCATCGCTGGGGTATGAGCACACCTGGAGTCTGTTCCTGTAACAGCCATAGCATCTGAACATCCCCCTGTGAATGGGGGTCATGGGGCCCACAGGGAACAGGGCCTGGAACTGCCCACTGGGCTGTGGCTGTGATTCCTGGGTCCTGGAGAGCCTGTGGTCTCCTTCCTTAGTCAGAATGAACCTGGCAAATCCCTGCCTTGAGCCACACTGGAGGGTGACGTTCCCTCCTGAGGTCACCACAGGGCTGGGCAGGGCTGAGAGGCTGGGTTTTCTGTAAGCTCCTAGGAGAGGAGGAGGCAGCGTGTTAAATGGGCTCACACCTCCCTCATGTCCCACAGGGCTGGCCTGTGAGAGGGGGACACCCTGGGAGCAGACCCCCTTCCTGAGGGCAGAGCCAGAGGCTGGGAACCTTGAGTGTCCTCTCACCTGTCACCACCAGCTCCAGGGGGTCACTGCGCTCTGACCAGCCAGCAGGGCTGAGATAGTAACAGCGATATCTCCCTGCATCACGTTCTGTCATGTGTGTGATGGAGAAACTGGCCTTGACCCCAGGCTCCTGTATTTTCCATGGTGCTGGGCTTCCCTCTTTCTCCAGAAGGTACCTCTCAGCCCCTGGGGTCCCCTGACACCAGATGGTCACGGGCCTCTTCCAGGGGATCACAGGGCCTGGCTCAGCCCAGAGGGTGGGCTTGGGGAGGGGCCCTGGAAGGAATCAGAGGCTGGGTCACAGGACATTCCCACCACCTGGCCCCAGGTGTCAGTCCCAGATGCCCCCCGTCTGTCAGACAGATCTGCACCCCTTTCCCTGCGGCCTGTGGTATGGCCATTGAGGAGTGGGGCCTGGGACACCTGGGGACAGACTCACCTGCCTGCACTGGGGTCCTGAGGCCCACACTCAGCCCTGGAAGAGAGTCCCTGTGAGAGATTTGCCCTGAACCCTGAGCCTCCTGAGTCCTGGGGTCCTGACAGACCAGGGTCCCCTCCCCACTCCCCCCTGCCATCTCACCGAGGCAGAGCAGGGCTGTGAGGGTGGAGGTCATAGTGTCTTCTCCCTGTGGCCACAGCTCAGCAGACGGAGGAGGCCACGGAGCCAGCAGGATGGACAGAGAGATGCACGGGTGGTGGTCACTTGGAGGCCAATCCTTCCCATCAGAGGGTTGTTATGTCAGCAGCCTATAGGGGAGGGCGCAGCCTGGCTCTCATTTCCATGGTGAAGCAGGAAATAGACCTGAGCCTCCTGGGATGCCCCTTGCAGCTGAGGTGACTCAGGGCACGTCCTTCCCTGTCAGAGCCTCCTCCACGGGGTCTCCTTCCTCCTCAGCCCGTCCATCAGCACCTCCCTGGGGTACTCACCATGGACAGTGGCACCCGGGCCCTGGAGATGCCTCAGGAAGACGTGGGTCCCTGTGGCCTGCAGAGCTTAGATCAGCAGGGACTCACTCACCCTCTCACTGTGCAGCTCAGGGCTATGTCACCGTGACAATGAGCACAGAGGGAGATGCAGGGAAATAAGGGAAGGAAACAGGTCTCCCCCTCTATGAACCTAGAGTTATCTTTCTTAGAGTTATCTGGGTTATCTTTCTATCACAAGTTTCTTCATGAACTTCCCTTTTTCTCAGCCACAGCCTCCAGCCCCTCCTTCCTGGGAACAAGCCTCAAGGTCATTGTCCCCCTCAGGGCCCCTCATTCCTCAGGCAGAACTGGATTCCTGGGACCATGGCTTGTCCTAGACCAGTGATGGTGAACCTATGACACGCGTGTCAGACGTGACACGCGAACTCATTTTTTTGGTTGATTTTTCTTTGTTAAATGGCATTTAAATATATAAATATCAAAAATATAAATCTTTGTTTTACTATGGTTGCAAATATCAAAAAATTTCTATATGTGATATGGCACCAGAGTTAAGTTAGGGTTTGTCAAAATGCAGACATGCCGAGCTCAAAAGGTTCGCCATCACTGTCCTAGACAGTAAGAAGCTGTCATTTGGCCTAGAGCTTTGATTTGTTGAGAAAAACCCTCTTTATTTAAATTCATGTGTCCCACCTGCTATCTGTGTGAACTGAGCAGTAATGTCTTGATCAGGTGTTTTCATCCATTTTTTTTTTACATGAGAACATCCACTGTAATTTATTTACTCTTCAATGAGTTTAACTCCTGAAGGGTTACAGCAACACACGGATTCAGTGTCCAATGGTCTTAGCAGGACATTTTCTCTGCAATTTGGCATAAACGGTCCACTGACCCCATGAGCACGAGTTCCCTCTCCCCAGGGGACTGGATTTGTGCTGTTCGCCACCAGGAGTCTCTGTGCTGCTCTTTGCTTTGTACACGGAGCACATCTCTTTCCCAGACAGAGTTCAGTTTCATCTCCCTCACACACCTTCAGCTTTAAGGGCAGCTGTGAGCTCCCTCTGGTCCCCTGACCCCGCCTGCAACCGGCAGAGCTGGTCCGAACCACAGCTTCCACACATATTAGTGCTCATAGGAGTCCTGCTCCCAGCGGGCCCCATATCCAGCTGCAGGAGTGTCACTCTTACTTTTCTTCTTCCTTTTTTCCCCCAACAAGTTTGAAAAAATATATACATATTTCTTTATTGTTTTCAGAGAGCAAGGGAGAGGGAGAGAGAAACATCAATGATGAGAGAGAATGACTGACTGGCGCCTCCTGCACACCCCACACGAGAAATCAAGCTCACAACCTGGGCATGTGCCCTGACTGAGAATTGAACCTCGACCTCCTGGTTCATAGAATGATGCACAACCACTGAGCCATGCTGGCTGGATGATTCTCATTTAAATAGTCCTCCATTGTCCATCAGGTGTGTGACCTTCACCCTCAATGTACAATCTCTTGAGTCTCAGTTTCCACTCATGTAGCACGTCGTCAAGAACCCAACCCCTTACAGTGGTTGTGGGGTTAGTGCCGCAGGGACCTGGTGGGAGCCATCCTGGTTTATTTCCACACCTGACTAAGCCATGTGAGTTGAGCCATGAGCGGTGTTGTTCAGAACTCCGCAGGAATTGGATGATTGCTATACCCACGTACAAATCCCATCTGCTCCTGATACTCAGAAAAGCTATGCCAGTGGTCGGCAAACCACGGCTCACGAGCCACATTAGGCTCTTTGGCCCCTTGACTGTGGCTCTTCCACAAAATACCTCTTGCGGGCGCGCATGTACAGTGCGATTGAAACTTCGTGGCCCATGCACAGAAGTCGGTTTTCAGCTGCGCGAGTCTATTTTGAAGAAGTGGCATTAGAAGAAATGGGGGGTGTTGGGCGACAAGAGACTCAGTGCAGGCGGGCCGTGGGATACGCAGCGCGGGGGAAATGCGTAAATTGTAAGGAATTTAATTTTATCAATAAATAATATTGTTATTAAGTATGATATCAAGTTTTATTCAATGTACCTATAGTTTAACTAAGACTTAAAACTTTAAGTAAAGTTTATTAAGTTAATTTTAGGGCACGTTGTGGAGTGAAAGAAGATGTAGTGTTGAGGATTGAGAAAGGTATGTTGAGATGGTTTGAGCATATAGAGAGGATGAACGAAGGAGATAGATGAAACAAGTATACAAGACGAGTGTGGATGGGAGAGTTGGAAGGGGTCGACCTCAGTGAACATACCTCAATCAGATTGAGGACGTTTTTAGCAAAGGTCAGCTTAGGACTACCCTAATTAAGTTAATAACAATGTACCTACCTATATAGTTTAAGTTTAAAAAATTTGGCTCTCAAAAGAAATTTCAATCATTGTACTGTTGATATTTGGCTCTGTTGACTAATGAGTTTGCCAGCCATTGGGCTATGCACATGGTTTCTGAAACATGTGGCCATCCTCAATGCCCAAAAAGGGATGAAAAAGTTCCCCAGATGGAGAGGGAAGCAGAACAGCAGCCAACCTTGAGTGGCTACTGTGCCTGGGTGCAGCCAGAAGTCATCAGCATGGAGTTTCCCACCTGTGTGTGGACAAGAGAGGGACCCAGGGTGGCCACACACAGGGAGGGGAATGGACTCAGGGTGAAAGTTGGAGCAGGGTTGCCCCTCCACATGCTTTGGATACTGGCACTGGGGTCTCTCTGCCCACGGACTCAGCCCATGGTGGACACTGAGCCACACTCACTGTGTGTGTGTGAAACAGATTCAATCCATTCTAGCTGGGAGTGGGTGTCTGCTCAGGGGTGAGTGTGAGGCTCACCTTGACATGGGCCCTTCTGGGCACATCACAGTCAGATGCTAACTTAGGGAGAGAGGACGCCATGGGGCAGGGCAGACCCAATTCTCCACCTCTTTGCGTCCTGAACATCAGGACAGCGCTGGGAGCGACTCTCTGTGGAGAAGCAGCTGTGTGGGAGTGGACCGTCCAATAGGAATGGATGTGAAAGGGAAATCCCAGGGGTGAGAGGAGGGAAGGGCTTGTCTTCCATGAACCCTCCCCTTCCTCCCCACCCCACCCCTGCCTGCCTGTCCTTCCTTCCCCTCCCCTGCAGGATGGGGGCACCATGGCTTTGCCGGCCCAGCTCTCCCTGACACAGTCATCAAGTGGGACCCCTTCATGTGAAAAATGCTACAGACAGGATGGTTCAGGCCATCCCTGAGGGTACTGGATCTGATGCTGCTGCTTTCCTGAACATATCTTGAAGAATGTTTAAACATCTGACAATGAAATGAGAGAATTGATTTCTTGGGCAACAACAGGGATCATAGTAGAGAATTGCATGAAATTTTAGTAATGGATCATGAAAATGTCTAAGACCTAAGAACAAAAAGTAATTTGATTTAGCACACTCAAACATTCTTTCCACCAAGGAGGAGATACAGCTGAAGATACAAATCTGAAAGTGGAGGACAACATTGGGGAAATTTTGTGGGGTGCAACACAGAAGGACTGGAACTAGAAAATTCAGATACATGGAGAATAGAAAGAGAAGCGCCACTGAAGCTGTGAGATGCAGGAGGAGAGCAGTGAGGATGACGTCTGCTTCATTCCTAGAAGCCAATGGCTGGGTATGTTACAGGGAAGCAGCGACAACACAGTGCCAGGGGGCATGAATATGCAAATGAAATGTGGGTCCTGATATTCATAGAAAGTGGGGGAAAGTGATGGGAGCTCACGTTCAAACAGAAACATAATGCCAAAAGTTATGTGAAAAGTTCATTCAAATACTTGATTGTGAATGAAGAATCCTATACTCACCCACATTTTTATTACAAGGCTAAGGTGAAAATGTCAGAGGGGAGAAATCCATGAGTTTGAGAAGAGAGAGGCACGTCCAAACCTATGAACTCACATCTCATGTGTTACATTCCCCAGGTCAGGTTCTGACTTCAGGATGGAGGAGGTGGCTTGGGCGGTAGGTCCTCAACCATCAGAGACTTTCTCCCTCCTTGTATTTGAATTATATTCTATCTTTAAAAAAAAACATGTTTTCAAGTGTCTTAATGGAAATAAGACATTTGCAGACATACAAGGTCTCTATTATTTACACACTCACTAAAAGCTCACTAAGATAGTAATTAAACCAACAGCACAACAGACAAAAAGTAGAGAGAGTGAGTTGTAAAAGCGAGAAAAGTAATGGCAAGACTAATAAACTTTGAAAAAGTATATTGGCACATACATTCACATATACATTATTAATTAAGAAAGGTTAAATAATATTAGGAGTGTGCGTGTGTGTGTGTGTATGTGTGTGTGTGTGTGTGTGTGTGTTTGAGACACATGAACACACACAGCTTTTGAAATTAGGTACAGGTTCAGCTTACGTGTAGTGACCTTTTCTCATCTAAAGAAGAGAGTGAATAAAAAATGGTTCACAATTATAGATATAAATACCAATATTAACATTGGTGTAACTATTCCAATTGGAAATGCATGTATAACCTCCAAACTGGTTGAAGTAAATATATAAAACAAATAAATGTGAATCAATTTTAAACTGGTCTGGAAAATTTTTGAAAAAGCGACTTAAAATGAACCGTATGTACTAGTTAAATAAAATGATGCCAACAATTTAAAATTATTTATTATCTAACATTAAAACATCTGCTCA